AGATACAAACAGGCATCGCTCAAAATTACACAGTTACAGATAACATTAATATATACATTTACTTATTACCAGTAATATTTCCTTTAGAAAAATTGCTAAGAGGTGGGGACCATTAAGAAAGGTGCAAGAACAGGGAATAGAAGGTACAAGAGGTGGAAAGTTCAGACACTTTTTATAATGAGTTTATGAGCTCTTCCATGTTTCATGGGTAAATTATTTTTATAATAAGAACTTGTTACATTTTCTTACCAAAAATGCTAACCCTGAAAGATGCCTTGTTTTTTTTTGTATTGTTTTGTTTTGTTCCAAAAAAAAAAAGAAAAAAAAACATTTGTGCGGATCCAAACGATTCAATACCTGTTGTGTGTTGATATCCACGCCTGAAAGCCAACAGCCAAAGCCAGGATGTGAATGATACCAACCAACCACCATTTCTGGTCTGAAAAAATTACAGTTTGAAGTTATTGTGTTGCAGTTACTATTTAACGCATAAGAAGGTATAGTCACACTCTTTAACATTCCAATCATCAACCAAGGCACACACAGTAATGGAAATGAACTCTTGCCATATGACCTAAGCCAGGCTACAGGTGGTCAATGGTAAATTCAGTACTTTGTGAGAGAGTGAGGCTAATACTTTTTTCTGGCAGCATGACACTTTCTTAGCTTTACATAAGAAATCACGACTCTTGGACAGCTTTGTGAATAAAACTAATACTGCCAAAGGTACGAAATTTCACCAAATTTCTGAGAGGTATATTTTTAGTAGGACCATTCTCTACCTCTCAGTCTCAGCTATTCTGGGCAAGTACAAATTATTGTTTTCTTATTGACGTTCTGTTTTTGTGTGGCTTACACAAAGTGCAATCCACACTTATTCATCAACCAAGAAATTCATTTGTTTACTTATTTTTTTACAGTCACTCAGCCAAATTGGTAATACAATAACGTATCTAGGTAGACATTACTATTATCTCACCGTCCAGTCTGCTTGAGCATGTCCAACATCTTAGCTTGAAATACAGGATCAACTGCTTCTACACTCACACCCTGAAATTGTCAACAAGTACATGTAATTGTAAGCTGAATCTGTGTATGACAACAGCTACACAAGCTTTAATAGAGTAACTCAGAAGCAGGTAGAACATGAATTGGGTGTTGTCTGTATTAACTGCTCCCCACATAAATCACATTCAGAAGGAATGTACACTGTAAGAGCTTTCTTTCTATCTTTTATACCAACACATTAACTTTTTATTGTGGGCTCACCGTTCCACTCTGTGGCATTGCAAACACATCAATCACTCGCACAGTATAGTCATCCACAAACTCGCCTAACATCAAACCCATCACTTCCATTGGAACTCCCGCCCTGCCTGCAAATAAAAAAGACATTAATTTTGACTAAAACGAACTCTGGTCCATACAATGCTGTCAAAAGTAGCCATACAACATATCCATAAAACTTAATATATAACAAATTTTAACAAATAGAAACCAGAACTTACCATGTTTCAACATCTGTGGATGAGCATAAAAAAATGACAGAAGGATGAGAAATCAACCATGTGTAAATACAGTTCAAAAACTCAAAACAGTTTTATACCAGATAACACCGTTCTTCATGAACGCTGCAAGTTTTTGATTTAGAAACACTAACTTATTCTTTCAGCTTCTAGATAAGTTCAACAGATTTCTAAAGTGGAAGGTGACATCTTATGACTTAAGTGTAGCTTAGCTTTTACGGGGAAGGGAAGAAAATAAGGTAGCTGCAACACAAAGGGTGCATTTCTTTGGGATGATCTGGATCAGGATCAATGATCCAAGATCACTCATACCATTGTGCATCAAAGGAATTGATGAATCCTTGCCCAGAGTGGATTCATTGAGTCCTTTCATGCACCATCAGTGATCCAAGTGATCTTGAATGATTGATCCTGATCCAGATCATCCCAAAGGAATGCATCAGTCCTACAAACATGAACTGTAATAAGAGAATCTGAAACAAACTTTATCCAGCTTATTTTGTGCATAACTACACTAGTCACCCTGGAAACAGATGAAACTTCCCATAATTTGTAAAGTGGTAGTGCTACATGTCTGATAGAGAGCTTACAAAACTTTTAATGGATTGNCAAAGTGGGCGCCAATCGATCAGTAAACGAGGAATTGAAAAAAGTCCCATTCAGTCTGCAAGGAGCAATGAGTTTTCCGGTGCGGCAAAGTAACTTTGAATGCTTGCTTGCTTGCTCCATGGGCACCCATCTCCAAGCAGGAAAATGTTTTTTGAACAAAATGCTGGTAAATTACATGACGAACCTAAAACTTAAACACGGTTTTAAAGCACAACTGTCAATAACTTGACTTACTTGTCCAACTCCAGGAATACCACCGGATCCTAAACGTAATATTCTGTCCATTTTAAAGATGAAAAAGAAAAAAGTTGGCGTGATCGCCTCGCATATGACAATGCAGTTTCCAAAATGGCGACAAAATGGTAGGTACTTTATGTATGAGACACATTTTATCTCGGAACAATCCGCTGTCATACCGCCGGCTCGAAAAGTCTTCTTCCTTCCCAGTCTTCCAAAGGAGAATACAATGTCACTTACAACATGGACGACACGAAGGTCTCTGCAGAGGAAGACGAACGAATGAATGAACAACCTCCAAAAATAGTCGTTGCAATATCGGACTTCGCTGCTGGAGACGAGACTCAGTTAACTTTCAGCGAGGGTGACGAATTAGTGATTCTAAGCGAGGCATCTAGTGAGTGGTGGTGGGGTGAACTGGATGGGCTATGTGGATACATTCCAGCGTCTTATGTGGTAAGCGAGACGGATTATGCCTCGCATCACAAAGAAAATCATGAATGGCAAGACGAAGAATACTTTGGCAACTACGGCAAATTAAAACTCCATTTGGAAATGCTAAATGACAAATCGCGAACTCTCGCTTATCGGAAAGCAATTAACAGCCATCTCGACGTTTTCGCTGGAAAAACTATTCTAGATGTGGGATGTGGTACCGGGATTTTAAGCTTGTTTTGTGCCAGAGATACACACGCAAACAAAGTTTATGCCGTGGATGGAAGCATGGATATCGGAAGTGTCACCACGGATCTGATAAAAACAAATGATTTGCATGGAAAAATTTCTGTTATTATTGGAAAAATAGAAGACATAGAGCTACCGGAGAAAGTTGACGTTATTTTGTCAGAGTGGATGGGGACCTTTTTGCTTTTTGAATTTATGATTGACTCGGTTCTCTTTGCAAGAGATAAATGGCTGAAGCCTAGTGGTGTTATATGGCCGTCAAATGCACAGCTGTTCATTGCACCTTGCTCTGCCAAAAAAATTTATGAAGAGAAGGTTACTGTGTGGAAAAATCAATATGGATTTGATTTCTCGCCTGTCGTGAACAAAGCCAAGACTGAATTCCTTGACAGACCAGTGCATAATTATGAACTTGATCCAGGAGATTGTCTGTCACAAAGTGCAGTTCTTCTGGATATCGATATGTCAACTTTTTCAAGGGAAAATCTTGAATTTATGTCAGAAATGTTTGAATTTCTGATAATAAAAGAAGGAACACTTCATGGGCTGTGTGCATGGTTCAGGGTGACGTTTGGAGGAGTGCCTGTTGCAGATACAGCAGAATATGTGACTCTATCAACAGCACCTGATCAAGAGCAAACTCATTGGAAACAAAACCTGTTTTTGCTGGATGAACCGGTGACTGTCCACACTGGAAACTTTATCAGAGGAGCTGCAAATATAAGGAGAAATCCGAAATACAGGAGGCATCTAAGAGTGACTTTTGAATTGAATATATTTGCTAGCAAATCCAATGATGGCAAAATTATTAACAGCATCAAAAAAAAGTTTTATATTTGGAGATAGCAGGAGAGAATCAAAGTTGCCCTGAGCCACTAAACTTGGAAATGGATGGTCTGTTTACAGTGGCAAGACTGTGGTTTTAATCTGCAGGTAATGGGGACTTTAAGTACCAAATACATAGAATGCCAAGAACATTGGACCAGAAGCGAGAGAGACACACATGCCATACATACATACATACAGTGGAACCCCACCTTACAGTCACCTTGTTAGTATGGTCATCTCAATAACACCACCACTTTATTTTGTCCCAACAAATGCCCATACCTTTTCTTACAAGAAAGCCCCGTTAATGCAGCTACCCTGTTAATACGGCCAACGGCCACATTCTGAAATCCTAACCTGTATAATCCTTAATAATTTTACCCCAACTCAAACTAGTTCTTTTCATTTTTCTATTGTTAATATTTTATACACTGATTCAAGTTTCAATTTGTTAAAATTATATCTGCACTTTGGATGCTTAGTAAAGAAGAGTTGTCTAGAAGTGCAACTGCAATCATGTGTGATGTATCTGTTAAGAGATCACTCAATTTAGACCAGTCATGAGGTTTGACCCTACCCTGTTAATTCAGCCACTCCATTAATACGGCCAAATTTTCTTGGTCTGTTGTTGACAGTATTAACGGGGTTCCACCATACTTTTATTAATGCTCAATAATCTAGAGCTTGTTAGTTTCCTACTTTAAATAGCTAATGTGTCGAGTTTAAAATTAAATGTTTGCATGACAGATTAAAAGAATAAAATTCAATTAAGAGAAAATAAACATTGATGTACTGTAATGATTTGATTTAGTACCCGGGCACTTGTTTACTATTGGTACCTCAAGGGTGGGTGCTTATTTAGGACAGGGCACTTATTTCTTTCTGAGAAACAGCCGGATGTTCAAAACAAAACTTGACGCAAGAGATCATTTTTTTGAAGGCATTATGCATTCACATAGACGTAATAGTTGGGAAACTCAGACGAAGACCATTGTTTTTGTGATGCGGCATTATTAAAAAAGATGAGCCTCCGCTGATACATACTTCATACTTTGAGAAGCCAGCCTCCCAGGACATAGATCAGGCAGTTTTTACGTAGCTGTAAAACATAAAAAGCCCTTCTTTGGATAACCACCCCCAAAACACTCATGGAGATTAGATGATTCCGGAAAATTACCCATAAAATTACCTATACCATGGGCAGCTTTTTGGAATTGCAAGTGCAAGGGGACTTTTCTAGAGTGGACTGACAAGAGTGTAGTAGTGGTGGTGGTGTAGTAGTAGTGGTTGTTTTCTTAAGTTCGACATATCCATGGTAACAGGAAACCCCGCCCCTTTAACAGCTGGGGAATGATATCATTAACCTCATAACAGGATCATGAGAGCTCTATTGGCACTCATATCATAAACTACTGCTTATAAGCCCACCTTCCCCGATTATAGGCCCACCTACCTGCAAACCAAAAATACGTCCAGTCAAACCCCCCCTCCCCCACCCCCCAGATATAAGCCCTCCTCTAACTTTCCTTCGTTTGATTTGGTTTGGTTTTCTTATGGCGTTTCATACAGTAACCCGCAGTAAATGAAATACCTCTTTCGATCAACCCAGTTATAGCTCGTTTCGAAACGGTTCTTTTATTCCGGTTATAAG